TTTTTTAACACAAGTATCTGTACTTTTACTCAAGTAGGGAAAGTGAGTACTTTTGCCATCTCTGAAAGACGTGCAGCAGCATTTTGAACCAGTTGAAGACGAGCAATTGAGGACCCAGCAATCCCCACATAAAGTGCATTACAGTAATCCAGCCGAGTGGTCAGAGTAAGGACCATTTTTTCCTAATTCACCATCATAATGAGGACCAGTTGTCGCTGACCGCGCTGCTGAGGCAATGACAGCAGTCTATGTTGTTCTATGTCGGACTCAACAGCGTTGAGGTTTTTAGACATGCAGTGTGAGCAGGTAGATCGCATCAGAGCATCGGGTTACACAGTGTGAGAACAAACATCGTGAGCTGTGAACCTTTAAACCCTGAGGTTTCCTCGTAAAGTTTTAGCTGTGGCTGCGTGCGACGATTGGAAATATCCCACAGTGTACGCCGGGCTTTAGTCTGTCAGAGGCTGTATGTAGTGATTTCAAATGTCCAGCAGGTGTCAGTATTCAGTCACACAGTATCAGGACATTTTGCAAATGAGTCGAAACGCTTCATGGTGCCTCATGAACTCATCACTACAACTAACTGTTGAAGGAGTGATCAAAGTAGATTCTGCTAGTCGTAGCTGGTTCGCGGTCTGTCTCTTCATGGCAGCCACCCATCCTGCTCGCCTTCTGGGTCCTAATGGAAGCGATAAACAAGATGCTATCCTTTCTTCCCATTGGTTGGTGCACCAAAATGCTGAGCACCTCTTTGCCATGTTTTGTTGGTGTTTTCAAGATAACATGGAGTAAAACTGCAATAGCAGCTGATGGCGTTCTATGTACGGGTGGTTTGTTTCGCCATCTAAGGAAGAGGAGTCCTGGGTGTCACGTGACTGAGTAACGCCACCTGAATGTTACCTTTTTTAACTTCCTGCTGCTATGAACAGCAGTGGGAAATTCCTGAGTGATTGAGGGAGCTGTTACTGGGGCTCCTCCCAGTGCTGGCGCCCACTGGTATGGGGTGGTCTGCCTCTCAGAACGACCGCAGGATATTTAAAAGTAGGATCATAATCCTGATGAACCCACTTGAGGGACAATGTCTGAGGTAAACTTTCTCACTTAAAAATGTTTTAAACCTACATTTTATGACGGGCCACAATGAGGTGGTGGACATATTTCTGATGCTCAAATCTTTTTTGAATGTTCGGTTTGAATACAGCAAACATTTCTGGACTAAATGTTTAAACTGGATAAAAAAAATGTTTACTTTGTAGAAACATTCCTAGTCCCAATCTGGACCCGTTCTGACTTTTCCTAAAGGAGGAATGGACTCTAACCTGACTCGGCCAGATGGATTTGCTCCGCATATCCATCTGGAAACCTTCCGTTGAAGTAATTTTGGGAAGGGGCGAAAATACTGGTTAG